CCTAGGGCGGCGGGGCTGGGCGGCCGTCGGGGGAGCGGGGCTGCCCTGCGAGCCGGGGTTTCGCCGAGATGCGGCGGTAAATAGACTGATGCTATTAGAGCCCAAGCCGCTGCCTCTAATCCCGCTACCGCAGCGTGGGGCCCTGCGGCCGGCGAGGTCGGGGCCAAGGTTCCCGGCGAAGGCGAGGGCACGCTCCCTGCCCGAACCCTGCCTGCATTTGGCCAGGCAGGAAACGCTGTGGTGGGGTCCTGGTCACAGCTTTCTCTTCTGGGAACAGTTTCGCTTTCATTCCCCGGGGTTAGGAAGAGCGAGCCCACGATCAGGCTGGGGACGGAGGCTGGTGTTGGGCTTGTAACACAGCCGCTTGCTTACTTACCGTTTGACTTCAAGCAAGTTGCTGAAATAATCTATACCTCAGTGTGATCGTCTGTAAAATACAGCTATTACCAGGAAATGAAACAAAAATTTCGAAATAAAAAGCGTTAATAGCAAACAACTATCAGACGTGGACTGGTGGAGGTTTTTTTGGTTGTTACTACTTCAAAGTATTTGCCTCCTTGGGTAAAAGAAGCATTGGGCATCAAAGCAGAGATCGGTTCTGTATTTAAGCAGACAAGCAATAGTCTACTTAACAGCACCTACTTTTTTTGCTTAGTGGTTTCATGCTAAACAAGCCATTTAGCAATGCCAGATTTCCCCTGGCTAGAGGGCAGGACACTGTCATTAGCAAAACACAGAGCTTGAGAAGATGCATCAGCTGATGGCCATGAAGACCAGCAGCCTCTATCCATCTGCAAAGCAAGGCCCCTAGACTAAGAAAATAGTGTGCCTCATTCATGCTTCTCTCCTTACACTCCCCCTTTGAGTTCTGATGTGGTTACTTGTCCTGTAAGAATATGACAGCTTGTAGCTTCACATTGGCCACTGAACAATGCAGTACACAAGCCTCTTTCAGCCTTTACAGACTTGGGCTGGACATCTTAGAGGTTAAAAAGAAGGAGGAAAAAAAAAATGTAGTCCACTGAAATGTCCAGCTATGCTGTATTTTCCTTTTTCACTGGATTTTTCAGAGCAAAGTATTCTTTAACCTTTAGTAATAATTAAGTGCTTGCTTTATTTAAGCAGGCAATAGCTGGAAAAGATAAAAGGTCTTATTATTGGGTTTTTTTGGTTTGTTTTTTTTTTTTTTTTAGGTAAAAGATACCCTTCTTTTGGTTTTGGGATACCCAAATCATCCAAGAGTAGTATTGGGAAAAGCAGCCCTCTCTGGCAATATATACTGGATCACTCTTTGCGGGAACATCCGATTCTAAAGAAGCTGCGGCTGGTCAGTATTATATCCCCCAAGGCAGGTTTTCTGTTGAGTGCTGTTACTGTTCCTCTAGGACCTGTTGGTATCGCCCACACCTCATCCTGAACAGCTGGACTTTTTATGATATTCCTTCTTCCCTCTTACTTGCATACACATTAGAATTTGTTTTGAACTTTGGAGTCCAGGAGACTCTTCAATATTCAGGGCTACCTAAATAAGTACTTAATAGTACTGTCATACGTTTTAGACATGTCTCTTCATGGCTCCCAAGGCCATGTGTTTGGGCTGCACTTGATTTTGACTTGAACAGATGACTTCTGTTCATTTTAGTTGGCATATAAGGAAACTATAGCTCAGAGAAGTGATGAACTATAGCTCAGAGCAGACTTCCTGACTCAAGATTGAGTCATTTCAAGTGAGACAAACTACTCCTGTAAAAAAAGCAATTAACTGTTAAGTACTGGAGCTGGTTGGTTGGAATGAGCCCTAGAGGAAGAAAGGAAAGGAGCAGACCGTCCTTTTCCATTCAACTGCCAGGCACAGCTCTGCTTCTCCTGCTCCCCTCCTCAGTGTCAGGGGCCCTCCCAACCCTGGCATGGGCACAGCAACTCCAGCTCCACTGTGTGACCAGAACCACAACCACGTGGTCTGACCTTCGGCAGCAGACTTTAACCTAGCAGTTCAGGAAAACATCCTACATGTCTTGGAGGAGTAAGGACATAAACCCAAAGGTTATAGCTTAAAAAAATAAGTGCATCTATTTATGTAAATTCACAGAAATAAAGGACTTTCACAGTGAAGGTTCCTCTGTGGTTCTTCATCAGTTACAACTATTGCTGAGTTTGCCACAGCCATGGTAACTTTGGGGCATATTATTGCTTTGATCAGCCACTGCATATGACACACACCCCACACTCCTTAGTTACTGTTAAATTCAAACCAATTTCTAGGTCAGGTGGAACACAAAGCCATCTAAAATGAGAAAGGTAGGAGTTTCTCTTTTTCCTGGTTTCTCTGGGTTTTTTCCCTAGGAAGCTTTGGGTTTTGCTTGTTGTGATATTTTTTTCCTCTTTCTAGCTCACTGCTGATCATCCCTGCAGTAAAATGATGGTGTCCTGTGACCAGGCTCAGCTTATGGCAAATTTGGTCAAACTCATTAAAGCCAAGAAAGTTATTGAAATAGGTAAGAGTGTCACTTTGTCCTCTCTGTAGCAGAATAAAGCTTCTGGCTGTCCTTCTCCAAATACAGCCATGTGAACATTAAGATATATCTAAACATGGTAAAGCACTGCAGACCTGGCTTCGCAAACAGGTGGGCAAACTACAGTGGGAAAAGCAGTGTCTGATTTGCACTTACTTGCTACTTTGTCTATCTGTGCATTCAGTAATACTGGCATCAGCATGGATGTCTCATCAACTCTGAGACCATCTGAAAAAAATAAGATCAACATGTCACTTGGGTTTCCTGCAGTTGCAGGGCAGGGTGTATTCTTTCTTTTCTGTATCAGTTGCTTGCTAGAAGGAATTGTTTTGCTGCACAGGCCCTGCATCCAAGCCACTTGCCTTGATGCACCTATGTTAGCGGGATGTCCCAAAGTCAGAGTGATGCTGAGCAGCCAGGTATGGGTTCCCACCATCTTTATTCTTGGCCTGGCTGTTATTTGGCTGGTATTTTCCTGCTGGTCCAGTCCCTTTGACTCAGGATTTAGCTCCACTTTTAAATAAGGGCATTCCTCAGAGACACAGGACCAGACTCTGCCCTATGTGTCCAGACTTTCGGAAAAAGCTGATATTAAGCTTTGCTAAAGGATTTATTTTAAAAAAGTAGTAAAAATTTATCCAAACCTGCCATTACATTAAAATAGACGGGAAACTCTTTTGTGTCCATTAGCAAATTGCTATCCTTGACTCCTTTGGGAAACGTTTTTATTCCTGAATGGAGCTGTAGTTTGCTTTTTTTCTTTTTTTCCACAATATGGTAAGGTTGATAACTCTTATGATTTCCCTAGGTGTTTTTACAGGTTATAATACCTTGAATATGGCACTTGTCCTGCCAGATAACGGTAGAGTTGTTGCCTGTGATATAAATGAGGACTATGTCAAAATTGGAAAGCCACTGTGGAAGGAGGTAAGCAGCATCTCTTCTGTTACATGTTTGGGACAGTTGTATTTTCATGTCAGGGGGTTTTGGTATCTTAGATGTGCACATTCACACACAAGCACTGATATCATTAAAAGGAGGCTGAGACAGTTCAATTTGGAAAGACAAATAAGTCTGTCTGGAACCTAGAAATAATGGGAAAAATATTAGAACACCAGTCACTCCCTGAGTGCAACCTACTAAGGGTTATCTCTTGACTGCTTTCATCAGCTCTTTGGGTTTTTCCATTCTAGGCAGGAGTAGAGCATAAAATTGACCTGCGGATTAAGCCAGCAATTCAAACACTTGGTAAGCAACCTAAAATACTTTTTTTTTTTCCTTCCCTTCCCTGAAAATAGCAGATAGATCTAATACTGGTGAAATCTAAGACCAAATATGCTTGTGGTATGATCGCTTTGCTAACAGTGAGACAGCTTCTCTTACACTTAAATTAATTAGAATTCAGAAAACTTCACCACTTCAGAAGTTCAGAGTTTTCCTATATGCTAGCAGAGAGGAAAAAAATGCTTGTCCTGTGTAGCGTGGGCTGTACTGATCGCTCACCTGTTCTGTCCATCACCTTGTTTAATCTGTCAAGTACTATTGTCAGCTGCTTCTGGGAAAGCTGATTAAAACAGATTAATTAGACAAATCCCAATTTCTCTTACCCATTCTAAGCAACTATTTCTTTGTTATAGACAGGAAGAGTTTTCTGAAAGGGCTGAGGTGTAAACAAAATACAGAAGCCAATATAAAACTTAGGGTATAACAGTTGAATTGTAACCAGAGGAGTTAAAATTTAGTATTTGCCAAAAGCATGCAAGGCCATTAGAAAGGCAATGACTTTTCTCATTCAAAAGAAGACAAGATGTGGGGTAGATGAAATATGAATAAATATTTCAAAAATGCAAGAGCTTTTCTAGGAATGGAGGAGGTGAAATGTTTCCAGCAAAGGTGTTTGATGGATCCATACATCCATCCATAATCTTGCATTGCTTCCAAATTCATCCATCCTTTCTAAAACAGCAAATATTAGCAGTCTGCTAGGATGTACTGTCCTTGAAGTCTGAAGGAGACCTTGTCTAGGCAGTGCTTCAGACAGAAAGATCCTCTGTTGGCAGAGGATAAGAGCAGGTGAGAGGGGTGGCTGAGAACTTCAGGAAGGCAGCAGTCAGCCCCTCCGCCACTGGCAATTTGGAGTTCTCAGTCAAGAAGTCCATTTAGGAGAACTTAAAACTGAATTCCACTTCTACTTACAGCAACCTTTTGCTGTAATAATGATCTCTGACAGGGTTTGTTTATAACCTGTATCACAGCATTTGATCATCGAGAGATTAGCATTTAGGAGCTGTTCATAAATGTGAGAAAAGTCCTAATCCACTTAAAACAATTCTCCTCAGTCAGCTCAAAAAACAGCTGAAGGTGTAGAATGCATCCAGTTTCAAACTGCTTGACTTGTTTTTACTGCACCTTTCAGCAGTCCCAGCTGTATCCTGCAGGTTTAGAACTACTCAATGAACTTCCAAGTAGGCAGAACTTGGTAACTGAGTGTTTTATGGCATACATCATGTCTAGATTGGTTTCTGTGGGATAAGCTTTTCTAGTAATTAGTTGTAGAGGAATAGACTGCCTGGTCAAGGTGCCAAAAACATTATTTAATGAGAACTTTGACACAAATGGACAACTTCCTCCTACACAGCATTAACCAGGGTGTAACAACTCACTTTGTTGCTCATCTAGATGAACTGTTGGCCAGTGGAGAAGCTGAAACCTTTGACTTTGCTTTCATTGATGCGGATAAAGAAAGCTACAATGAGTACTATGAAAAATGTTTGCGCCTCATAAAGAAAGGGGGAATAATAGCTATTGATAATGTAAGTACTGCAGCTGTAGTGGTAGTAGCATAGGGAGTTACTGCTTTTGCCTCTGGGAAAGGAAAAAAAAGGTCGCAGTGGGATTCTGGTAATGTGATTTCTGACCTGCAAATCAGTTGCCAATTGCAATGTGTTTGTTCCATGTTATACAAAGGAGGCTTTTAAAATTCAACATAAATTCCTAAAGTAAGCTATATGGAACACTAATATAAGCAAGGAATAAAACCCTGTAGAAGTAAGAAGTAATGTGTTAAATTTATGTTAGTACATAAACAGCCTGTGATAACAGAAACTTAAAATTTTTTTTGTAATTCATTACAGAGAATGCTGTGTATTATTCTGATTTGTCTTGTAGTGCATTTTCTACTATGTACAGTACTTACACAAGATCAAAGGTAGCACTTATAATCATTAACTACTATTAAGTTATCAATTAATAACTTTTACTAGAAACAAAAAATTATGCTAAACTGCAAGCAACTTTGGGTTTATGGTGGCAGCTAAATAGGGGCTTTTAAAAATACCTATGTTCAATCACTTTTTTTTTTTCTTAATTTTGAGTTCTAATTTGCAGTAGAAGTACAATTAGCCAGTTCTGTGGACTCTCAATCCCACTTGTTTATGAGAGCTCCATATCAGACACCACTAGAAATCTGAAATACAACAAATAGTATCAATTTCTAGAAAATATGCAGGACCTTTTCCAAAGCTTCCTTTGTGTTCCGAGGAACATATTGGAACAAATGAGGTGCATGACATTTCTTTTTTCAATAGGTCCTTTGGAGTGGAAGGGTGCTAAAACCAAGAAAGGATGACTTGGCAACCCAGAGCATTCACCACCTCAATGAGAAGCTTCAGAGAGATGCACGAGTCAATATCAGCATGCTCCCAATGGGGGATGGAGTCACATTAGCATTCAAGTTGTAACTGGAGGAAGCCCAGCAGATGGGAAACAAGCAGCATCAAATCATCAGGAAAAATGCAGGCGAAGCAGTATCAAAAATGGTTATTTAACCTATATCTCCACTGAATAACACAGCCTGGGAAAGTAGACTTTAGGAGCAGCAGGATCCTAAGGGCAGCTAAATTTGGAAGAGACACTTATTTTGAGAACTACTATGGCTTCTTATTTTAATTGTAATAAAGCAAGTAAACTTATGTGAAGTTGTCCTTGTAAGACAATGGTTGAAAACAATGTGCTTGTGTAGAACAACTGAGTTTTGAGTCGGTACAACAAAGTCATTTTCTGTCCTAAAAGAAGCTACTAAGTAGAATAATCAGTCCTACCATCAAAAGGAAAAGTAGAGTTTACTAATGTTAAAATCCATAGTAGAAAAATTGATTTTTAATCAAATGTACATGACCTCAAGGAGATTGTTAGCCTTCTCACACTAACAATATTGAAAGTCATTGGTAGTCCTTGAAGGGTACTACATAAGAAGCCTCAAATATACACGTGTGGGAAGAAAAAAAAAAAAAAGTTGTCTTTAAAAACATGTCAAACAGTATTTCCAATACAGAGCACTCCCTAAAACTTTTGTGTGCAAGGTTTCTTTAACCTATGTAACAGTGTAGGTTCTTACTTTTTTTGAAGTCAGGATGAGGAAGAGCAAATGGGCAAGAAGAAAACCAAAACAATTCCTCCTTCCTCTCTCCCTCCTGCCTGCCAGCCAAAGAAGCAACTTACTAGGTGCTTGTTTCCTAGAAAGTTGGAAGCACAGAGCATTGGTGGCAAGTCTACAGAAGGAAAATGGTGATTGTAAGAGGATGCAATACAGCTGTTAACTGGCTATTCAAATATACTGCAAGCAGAGATTCCCTTCCCTAGGTAGTATGTAACAAAATGATGCATTTTCCCTACCATATTCTCAACTCCCTAGTTAACTTCATTTGCTGTTATCTTCCATTACTTTTGTTTCATCCTGATGCTTCCTGTAAAATTTTTGATCAGGAAACGGCAGTTGAAAAAGCTCACCTTAGCTGGGACCAATGAAAGAGATTTAAAGGGCAGAAGGCATATTCTGTTCAAGCTGGAGAATAAGAACCCAACTAATTACTTATTTCCACGGTGAATTAAAAATAATACTAATTAATTTTTAGGGATTTTTATTTCATCTTGAAATTCTTATTAGAAAACCTAATTAAACAAGAAAGCAGAACTAGCATTTTACAGACAAAAGCTCCACTGTCTTCTGTTTTAGGGTACTGATACACTGAAAGGGTATCATATGCATATTGAGAGAAAAGGTCACTTTAGATTTGCTGATAAGGGGCAGACATTCAGGGCACAGGTCATGCCTGTCTCAGGTGATAACATACCACAGTGGGAGAGCAGTGGAGAAAGGAAGCATCACTGATGGTTTCAGAGTAGGGCTATGAGTGAGATCTTAATTCTATTTCTGTCACTTCCACTTAAAACCCTGATTCAGCAAAGCATGTCAGGATGTGCTTAAGTACTTTGCTGAATTGAAGACTGGCTGCCGTAAAGTAAAATCCATGTCTGTGAGAAGACCAGGACAAGGTGCATATGGCCCTTAAATGAGATTTTAAATAGGGCATAAAACTTGCCCAATTTTTCTTTCTGGGGACATTTCTACCCTCAGAGCTTCAAACCTCTGTGTGCTCAATTTTCTTATCTGCATCAGAGAAATAACACATTAACAAAGTCTTAATGACTATAATAGCTCTCAGATGGAGTGGCTAAATAATATACACAACCATTATACATTTGCATGCAAAGCTTCTGGCCATGTTCTACGTTACAATCTTACTTTTTAAGTAGATAAAAAATGGTAAGGGTTACAAACACAAAATAGGATACTTTTAACAGCTGGGGCATCCTCTCAAATATTCCTGCTTTCAGAGGCTGTAGGCTGATAATCACAAGTGAGCTACAAGCTATTAAGGTTACATACCCTGGCCTAAAAGTACCATGATGGCCTTTCCCAAACGCACAGAAGTCACTGGAAGATTGATCACAGACTCTGTAAGTGTTTTGCTACTAGTTTCCAGGTTGCAAGAATCCTCCCAGTAAAGCAGAGCCAAAAATGGGCAAACACTGTGAGTATTTTTGCAAGACACTGTCAAATAACAGTTTAGCAACATTCAAAACACGGATACAATCATAGTTCATGAATTCAAAAACTCTTCCTAGAATGGTGGGAACTGGCAAAGTCCCCATCCCCTATGCTAGAGAAAGACTTGTTGAGTGCCTGAGGCTGAAGCCATGTGCAGTGGGCTAGTATTTTGCCTCTACCTTGGACTCTGCTCCATTTTAAATATGCAGAGCATAGTGTGAGCATTTAATCAAACCTGTCTCCATCCTGATCACGTAATTACCATTAGAAAGAATAGCAATGTGTCCCTAAACTATAGATTGATGAGCCATCTGTAAGCTGAAACAAAGAGCAGAAGGAAGCTTAATTGAATCAAATATTTAGAATACATTACACTCTATCTTGTGGTTACTCAGAAGCTGGCCTTCTCTTCAGGCTTCTGTCCTGTGCATCTGGAATTCATCACTGCTAACTGCATTTAATCCTTCAACCTTACTATAAAGTGACTGCTGATAATATATAATTATAGTTTAATTCAAGTGGTGAATCAGCTTTGGGGAATTTGTGGGGACAATGGGAATTTAGGCTTTCATTAGGTGGTAAGAGTGGACGATAATGCAGCACAAGTCTTTGTCTCTCTCTAATGGCGAGATCATGTATGGGAGTTTAAGGGCCTGCTCACTCCTCCCAGGTAACACTGCCTGAGCTACTGCTCACACTGTAGAGGCTCAGGATTTTTGACCCCTAAAGAGGACCTGACTTGTGGGCATAGCTGTTGCCCAAACCCTACCACCCAATTCTTAATGCAACACTGTCAAGGGTTGACCCTAGAGGCCAACCACTAAAGGGCACTAAAGGAAAAAAAAAAAAAAAAAAAAAATCCCCCTAGTGCAGTAACTCCCAGGAGCCACCATGACAATGAAAGCATGTAATCCTAGCTGCTGGTCAGGTATTGATCCCTGGTCCAAAGATGTCACATTTGAAACGGTATGGTGTAATATTTGGATGGGTGACGGGGAAAGGAACAGAAGTCTGTTTCAGAGCAGACTTTGCATCTCTACTGGCTAATTAAATGAGCAGAAGACACTCACTCAGCAGTGCTGCCACGCTCCCCTTTGTGCTGGCCCTCTGTGATATACCCAGAGGAAAAAGCAAGAGCTTAGACTTAGCTACAGCATGGAAAACACTCAGGACTCAAGACTGGGTGCTCAGAAATCTAGATAGAGCTTGTCCCAGAAAGAAACAACTCACTGTCCGAGGGTAGACACAATGGTTCTTCAATGCTCAAGGATCACTGACACATTTTCAACACCAGCTTTTGATCCCTCTGAGACATGCAGGGGATGAAGCAGGGAGCATCATCGGTTTCTCACGTTGCTGCAGGCCTAAAGGAAAACTAGTTGTCAGGTGTAGCATAACTCAGAGGCATTTGTTTGAACCTCTGACACTGCCATCCCTCCTCCTTTTAACAAACTTATCAACTGTTTTTAATCTGTTTGAATTTAGCCACATTAGACACAGACAGCATTTTCTGTGAATTGCTGCTCATGGAAGACAATTAGCAAGCTTTTTGTGATAAAGCCTTTAGGATACAGAGAAAGGAACATGAATATAAACCTCACCTAAATGCCTGACCCTCTGAAGCATGAACATCTCCCCGCATGCCCCAGAAACCCTGCAGCTCAGACCTGAGGCCAGTGCCATATCTCAGACACCGCAATCTTGATGATATTTGGCTAGCAACAGCAGCAAGTGACACAACTTGCAGATGGCTCCTTTTTGATGATGCAGTATCCCACTCAGCTGCATCCCTGCTTATGTTCTCTTTATCACTTAAAGAAACCCATCCTAAATGGCCGCAACATGGGTAAATAAGCTAAGAGGTCAGTGCTCGCTTAAGAGACTGCACTCACTACTGGTCGAGATGAATACAGCTTGATTTTATCTAACCCATCTACTGAAACTGCACAGGCTTCCTCCATCCCTGGCACCACCCTTGCACTACTGCGAGGAACATGACCCTGTTGAGCAGCCCCATCCATTCTTCCAAACAACAGGTACACCAACACATTCAGATAACCTGTGAGCTCCACACACTCAAGAAATCTGGACCCATCTCTGTGTGGTTTGCAGCATATTTGATTTTACTGCTTATTTCATTTTCATAGGAGCAGCAGCACTGTAACTGCAAATAAAACGAGAAAGGTCTTTTGGGGCAGGATTTCTGAGGAGATCCCAAACAAGAAGTACTGGACAAAGGCAATTCTTCCCTCTTTGTACCTTAAGAGCTGCAAATGAGTTTCCTGCAACAGGGAGCACTGAAGTTTCTTCAGAGAAACTTAAAGGTATAAGATTTTTGTTTCCTCACCCATACCTTGCTCTGTTCTGTCGTCTGCCAAGCCCTGCCCCAGGCTTTTCTCTGCTGCTGCTGCATGTTGTGCACGGTGATTTGCATTGGGATGAAAGGCTCTGCATGGGTATAAAGCATTACCTCTGCATAATTCTAACCACACACAAATTGGTCTCATGCATTTGAAGCTACTCATGGTTTCTAAGTCACCTGTTTTATAATAATAATTTTAAAAGCAATGTTTTGAAAAAGGAAATGAACAAACGTAAAACCTGTAAAAGAGGGAAATTAATGTGGGATTTCAGGCAAGTTATTTATCTTCCTTTTAGGCTCAGTGCAATACTGTAGGGATAAGCACATAACTAGCTGCTTTAATATTTACTTCTATTACAGGAAAAGCAAACATTGCTGATAAGTCACTGCTTTCCAGGATTAGATTTAATATTTTAGAGGCTGCCTTAAATTAATGCAGAAGCAAACATTATCTTTTCTTCTTATTCATATATTTCCCTAATGAGTTCCAAGCAAATTGTGCCTACTTATATTTTATGATTTTAAATAATTAAAACATTTTATGTAGGCAACTAAAATTCTCCCCAGAGTTAGCAGAAAGATTATTGATTGAACAAATCTCAAGCTACAAGAAAAAAATATTATTTAGTTTAAAGGCTCATAATTTTATTCCTATTCATCTACTGAAAAACCAAGAGACTGCATTTTCACAGCAGCCTTATGAATTATGCTGGGATAGAGACTTTGGTTATGTTGGTGAACTGAAAGTAGTAACTTCTTGACATCATGAAATTAGATTTGCAGAAGATAGTTAATGAGAGTGTTACTGCTGCTGTCACAAGTAAATGCAATGCCTAACTACTGCATACACACATGACAACACAGTGTTCATTACTCAGGATAAAGCCTGGCTGTACATTCACAACACCAAGAATTTGAATCAAATCCACAAATGGAAACATCAACAGAAGTCCACTCTCAGTGGAAGACTGGTTCACAGGACACCCAACCTCTATGTGTCATGTTGCATGGCATGGCCACAAGAGCCCATAGGGTTATGGCCCAGATCTTACTGGCCTGTAGCACAACCCCCAGCAGCAGAAAGGGGGTTTCTACCAGCATGAGAAGAACAACAAATGAACCAAACCACAACAACAACAATAAAAAGATAAACAAACACATTTTAAAACAGGTGCAGAGAAACCTGTAGAATGGAAATGATTGCTTGCAAATCTAAAAGGAAACAAAATCCAGTGAAGCTGGAGGTAAAATTTAGTCTTATTTGTAAGAAACCTCACACTTGTCCATGATGTCACTTGTATCTTTTAATGTGTGCTTTAGGAAGCAAACATTAGGAGTTCACATTTAAAGGTAAACAAAACATGTAGCTCCTTGGACTAGAAAAACAAAATGGAGAAATTGCAAAACTTAGGCAAATGTATATAAACATGTAAAATGCTGACTTCTAAGCATTATTGTGTACCCTGCAGGTCCTGCCTTTTTCCCTGTAACAGCTAAACTCACACAGGCTGTGGCTCATGACACCCAATGCTTACTTCATTTCTTTATAAAGTACATATTTTTGCATTTGCCTGCTACAAGTTGACATTGCTTATGTCCACTACAGGGCAAAACCTGGAAGGCGGGGGGGCAGTAAGAGCTGTAACCAGCAGAAGTGTAAAGTTCCATCACATGGCACCTTTGACTCCAGGCAGAGCTGTGAGGACCATATGGGGACAGGGAGGGGGCAGTGAGACCACACTGCTCTGTGTGGAGGGATCCACATCTGCCTCCACCTCTGGCAAGATCCAGCTCCACAGACAGAGGTGAGAAATGGTCCCTCAGGTGCCTTCCACCCAGCTACCAATGTCTCCTCAGCCTCCTGGGCACATCAGCAGGGTATTGGTGTGCCATTTCCACAGCGTCACCTTCAACGTCCTCTAGCCATCTAAATGTCAGCTGCTATAAAATGCTCTCCCAAGACACTTAATCCATCTTTTCAACATAGAGTAATTAGTGGGGTCGTTCCAAAGCAGAAAGCCAGTTAATTGTGCAACTACTTGTGCTGTCATGTATTATATCAAAGAGATTAATACAACCTGAAAGAAATTGCAGGGCCCTCCTTGGTTTCCTTTGAACATCAGAGCTAGATTATATTCCAGTGAACCTCAAAGACATCCCCAGTACAGAGGAACATTAATTCACTATCAAAGTGCAATTGCAAATAACAAATATTCACTAGGTCAACCTCCTGATAAAACAGTTCCTATGCAAAAAGCTGCTTTTTCTCCACAGATATGTAGAACCAGCTTCTACATCACCTCTTGGTCTTCCCATGGCTGTTGTAGATTTTAGGGGCACAGTCATTTCCTGGAACTATTCCCACCAACAGGCAACAGTCCTTCTCCTCAGGTTGGGAGGACCATCAAAATGGAACCAATAAGGTGTCCTGATAAGGGCGTGGGCCACAGTACCAAAACTGTCCCTGTTAAGGACTGCTGCATGGGTTGGACCTATTCTCACAATCCAAGACTGATCAAAGTTATCACTGAAGACTATCTTGAAAGAGGCAAAAGTGTAAACCCATTTAATCAATACCCAGAGATCTGGGGTCCCAAAATTTGTTCTGGTGTTAAAGAAAGGATCCCAGGTACCACCAAGCCTGACACACTTCCCTCTCTCTCACAGCTTTGATTACTTTGATGGATACTACCAAGTTTTCCTTTCTTGATTTTCCACAGTTTTCACTCACATACCAGATACTGAGTGAAGCCCTTTAGCTCAAGCTTAACTTCAAATGTATATTTAAACTTCCAGACATGGACTGTGGTAAACTCTTAATGAAAGCTTCAGACTTGCAGCTAGGGTCTGCCTGTTGACCTTAGGAATCATGTATGGTCACCTCCAGAAACTGCATTAAAGGTACATGATTAAGACTTCAACACTAAGCACTCAGGTTACAAAAGACTAATTAAATTGACACAAGAAATCTTAATTTTGGCCATCCCTATTACATATAGGCATTATAATATAGATTTTAGTTTTATGATCAAGCATTTCTGCATTCTACCTCTTATGTGCTCCTTCCTGACCTTATTAAGTCTCATTTTACCTCTTCTGCCTTCTAAAGGCTAATAAAGTAAGAACATACAAACAGGAAAAGAGCTGGCTTTGAGCAGCCTGAGCCAATAGGGGATTCCTAGGTCTCAGAAGGACCAAGCAGCCTTGTGCTGTGGTCACATTTCTCCAGCAGAAGAGGTAGCAGAAATTAGGGAACCACTAGCAGAAGTTAACTGCTTTTTCTATGTTCAATTATCTTTCTGCTTTGTGTTTATCTTACTTCATCTCCATAAAAGAAAATTGGACTGTAACAGCTAGAGCAACAGCAGATAATTTCAGCTAACTCCCTGTATGTTTCCTCCAAGGAATCAAAGGCTATCAAGCAGAAGGGAGGAAAATCAGAGGAAAGGCAAGAATGGGTTTTCCTATGCAATGGGAAAGTTATTCTGTGAAGGAAAGCATTAAAAGTAAAGCCTTTCTTTTTCAGAAAGTTTACATTTTGAATGCTTCTCCACTTCTCTTTCTTTCTCTCCCCTGCTGCTAACCAGACTGAGGTCTTTGTGCCCGAAACCCTGCCCCTCAGGTACTTGTTTGGTGCTGTGCAGACTGCTCAGCTCACATGGCCAAGGCAGGCACATTCCCACTTGCACCAAACACCAACAAGGCCACGCTCTGCAGCGCAGCCAGCATGCAGAGGGGCCAGGCATGCCCCAACCCCACCAAACTAAGCACGTGTCCTATAGTGACACACCATATTTTTAATTCAGGAAATCTCAGAGAGAAGTATGAGTGCAATCTCATTCCAGGAAGAAGAAACTGAATTAGAATAACATAAAAGCCTTGCAAGGCAGTGAGCTCATGCTTCCTGCAGAGCACCGCTCTCTGTGCTCGATAGTGAGTGATGCTTGGTTAAACACCGGGGGAACCAAGAGCAACCACCTAACTCCCTGGCACTCCTCTTGGGATGGGGCCATACTGTGAGTTAGAAGAAGCTGTGCCTCTGGGAGAGGCTGCTATGAATGACTGCAGTGGGACTGCATGGTACACCTTTCTGCTACAGCTTCCCACAAAAGAAAAGGAAATAATAGGAAATGGGACTTTGAGCCAGGTCATTTAGCCCACAAGAGGGAGAAATTTTGAAGCAGAAGGTGGGTTAGTTGTGTTGTGCTGGCTTGGCAGAGACACCTACCAAGACTCCCAACATTTACGCATGCTCATGAACTCATAACAGGCATGATGAAGTTAAATCAGGTGAGCTTCAGGCTACAGAAATGAGCTATAATCAATTTCAACAGCATGCTGAATGCACAAAATGGCCTAAACGCAGAGAGCCTTTCTACAAAGCTTTAGGTCTCACCTGAAAGCCTACCAGTCTTGCACCAGGACTGAATGCTGTACGAGATTTCCCAATGAACTTCAAAAAAGTAAAACAAAAATACAGAGTAAGGAGATCAGCCTTCTGTTACAGAAGCTATAATACAAGCCTACATCTACAATAAATTGCAATACCCTGGAGAGATATTTGTGAATTGCAGTTTACTTAAAAACATTTCATAAAATACTGATTCCTGAAACACTGGAGACGCCTGTTCACACTCACCTTGGTGCTCTCTCTGCCAGTGAAGACTCTGCAGCTGGCAGTATGGAGGGCTACTGCCTCCACTTGCCACACCCATAGGGGTATCTGTCAGAGCTGGTCCTATTCAGCTCAATCGATGAACCTCTCAGGTACAACAATGAGCAGCCTGCATCCAAACACTACAGCAAAAACCAGTACACCCTCCTCTGCCATGGGCAGGCTTTTGTGCAGGCTAAAGGACATGCATCAAGTGCCAACAACAAGGGAGGACAGAAACCACTCCCTGCCCTGCTCCCCAAAGTACATGCTGCCAATTAGAGAAGTGAAAATGATACCAGGTGACTCATGATCAGTCGTAACCCACCCAATCCACTCAGCAAGATAGCAAGGAAAAGATTCACTGTAACTGTAAATCTGGCCTGGGCCCAGCCCCCTGCACCAGGGCAGTTGGCAGTGCAATGCACTCCTCCCAACCCCCAGCAGCTGAGGGACTTCAGTGTGCCTGACAAAGAGGTGTTTGCATGCTCTGCTTGCAAAGACCAACAAGGGTCCCCAAAGAAGGGAGAAGGACAAGGTGAGGCACCCTGCAGCAGCAGGCAGTGGGGAGCCCATGGCAGCAGTGCTGGCCACAGGGTTCACTGCCCAGCACCAGTTTTCTGATTTTGTCCAGGAAAGACAAATTTTGTACATTCATGAACAATATAGCCCCGACGGAAGTTGTCTCCGCTTCCTACCCTCAACTGACACATGCTGCACAACAGCTTTTTAACAGCCCCTCCATGTGAAGGGGATGGTGGTAGAGTTGCTCCTCACAGCAGTGCTGACCACTCTGTAACTGTTTCCAGTCAGAGGCTGCTGCTCCACACCAGCAGCTCAAGCAGCCAAAAGGGTACACGTTTCACCACAGCATCCCCATGGGACAGGCCCTGAGCAGACTTGCTGGCCTCTCTCTCTGTCCCCATGCTCCAATTGCTTGATTGGGACTTAAATTAATTGCAAAGCCGAGGGAAGAGTTTGTGAGCTACCTACACGGTGGCAGTGCAAGGTCCCCGGGCTGCAGCCCACACTGCTGGTGCGCCACGTGGCCATCAGTCCAGCCCTCCTGCGGTGCCTGGTACATGGGAAGATCACAACGTGGGGATCAAGACACAGGAAGATCATGAGTCTGGCAACATTTTGAATCCTTTGCCTTCTGGTTTGTGGCAGCTAGTGTGCCCTGTCCTCCTGTCAGCAGGTGCTGCTCAAAGGTAAGGGTGGCCAGAACTTCTCAGGAAATCAAGAGATCTCTGCCATTTGGAGGCTTCTAGAAAAGTATGTCAAGTCAGGAGCAGAGCAGCAGTCGGAAGGATAACCTGCTTTGTAAATTAGGTTTTGCACCCAGGAATGTGCTGCCGACAGCCCGATGTAGAGAACAGGACCCACTGCTCTTGCGGAAGCGGACGGACGCTGCCCAGGTTTCTCAGGCTCAAGGCTTGGAGATCATCCGAGTGCCAGCGTACGCGGGGGTTTGCTCCTCTACTTTCTCCCCTTAGGTCAGAGCGGGGGGCGGGCCGCTGCAGCTCCCGT